TAATTCTGTTAAGCCAATATTGGAACAGCTGCTACTCTTACTTTTGTAGTGATCTTATCGCACATGATGCAAGCTAACGCCAAATGGTGGGCAGTGGTCAAGGTGCGTGGTAGATCAACGTAGGCGGGAGATCGGCCAAGGTAGGCGGGACCTTGTTGGTACTAGGCCTGAGCGACTCTCTTTCTCGATCAATATCAGCTCAGATCAAAAATGATGAGAGTGGTAAAAGCAAGGAGGGCGGTCAAGAGTTCCACTCGAGGTTGCAGTACCGCCGTACGCAGCCTCCACGAGGGAGGATCGCACGGTGTGGGTGGTGGTATTACGCGGAAGAACTTAAAAAACGATTACAAAGTTTTTTCCGCATACTTTATCGTGGCAACGGGATTCGATTTGAATTAGGCAGAGGTTTGAAAAAAAATTTTTGGTTGGTTGGTTTTTTAGTCTTCATAGGTTGTGCCTACTCAGAAGTAACTCACGTCCATTGGTGGCTCGATAGACGTTGCAGCCCTCTTCAACAAGTCCATGAGTCTTGGCGTATTCCAATACGTTACCAACTTCACCACCTTGACAATTGCCTTTTCCATTGCAATCGATGATTTCCTGAAATCGAATATATTTTTCAGCTAGTCACAGTCGTCATCCGGGCACTTGATTAGGCGGCCAAGGGTGGCGACGCGGCTGCAGCGCGTCACTACCGCGGCGATCAGCTGTTTCCAGCCTAATTTGGCCATTTTCTCCCTAATTTTCAGTGATTTCTATTTTTTTATTGCCCTTGGAAGTGTTGTTAGGAATATGACTCCTTTTTTTCGTTTTTGCAATAGAGTGTTTTTGCGATTTTTTTCAGGTATTTGTTCAATTGTCTGCTTAACTGTTTAATTGTACGCAAAAATCAGAGGAATCTCAATCATAATTTACCTTGTGAAGACAAGGAACAACTAATCTTGAGAAAAGCAGCCAAAACAGTGTAAATTAGGGAGAAAATGGCTAAAATAGGCTGGAAACAGCTGATCGCCGCGCTCTCGTGACAACGCCGCGACCCTTGCCGCCTAATCAGTGCCAGATGACGACTGTAATTTCTTAATTGTTTCTTTTAGGAATGGTTTCGAGCTCCGCTCCCAGCAGGAGGCGTAGGAACACAGGAGGGTCCAGAATAAGCACCTCAAAGCAGACTAAGTGGAACAGCTCCCCACCAACGCCTGCTCCGTCTCTCCGTCCTATTCAGCATAGACTTATTGCTAGAGAACCACGGTATTTTAGCGGTAGTTGTGGATGCTAGATTGATTCCCAGTGGACAACCCTCCTGCACACTATGAATCCATTCGGAAATCGTAACATCTTGAACTGCTACTTTGCCTTTACACAGCCTTGTGGGAGCAGCCTATTGTCGCTAAGAGTGTCTTCCCACCCTGACATCTATCAGATTTTAGACTTGACTGGCTTTAGCGGCTTTAGATCCTCCAGTACGCTGCTATTAAGGGCAGGTAAAAAATCGCAATAAAAACGTGAAATTCCAAGAAAAATGGGTTTACCTGAGGAGACACCATAGTCATAGGCCACCTGTTTTTACGGGCAATATTGTAACGATCATTCAGAGCTCCTAAATAGTAAGTCAAAGCATTCGTAGTGTCTCTTGAAGTCTATGGAAATAACCAGTTGTTCCAAACACCCAGCACGATCCGCAGTAGACTGGAATATGTTGATTTCTCGTAGGACTGCAGTAGTTGACACCATTGACATTCCTCCAATCCCACTGCTTCGGCAAATCATTCTTGAACACAGGGCTTCCTTCCCAAACTCGAGGTTTTGTTCTGGAAAATCGGAATCCTTGATATAGTGGGAACTTTTGCAAAAATTGTTCTGTGTGGGGTCTTCCTAAAAATCGCTTGAACAAAGTGCTTCACCCGTGCTCTCTTCCGAGATAAGGTTGAAGGAACAGTGTAATGAGCGCTAAGATAACCCCGCACGGGAACTTCCTCTCTCACTAATCCCCGGGATGGAGACATAAAGGCTGGGTTCTTAAGTTGTATTACCTCGGTTTATTCACCACCACCCTCAATATCTAATATACGCCTGGCCCAACCTCAGTAGTCGGTTCTTTAAAAGGCACATTGAATCGTAGGAGACCGAAAACCGTCCTGTTGAACTGCTCTGCTCTTTTTCCAGCCCTGACACGAAGGCGCACCAATGAGTAAAGGCGAAGCGACCTGTCTCCTGCCCAATTATACGTCCGACCTTTCCTGTTATTGCATGATTTACTTATAAGAACCGCCGAAATTTCTTTTTTTGAAACAGCAGATATTAATGTTTTCTACGAATGATTGGGCACTCGTTGGATTCAGTGATGGGCGAGACAGTCTTATGAAATTCTAGTCTCTCAATAGTTTTGACCAGTAGGAAGATGGAGTACATAAGCCAGAGGCTCATAACTTAGGCTGAAAACTTCCAACTTCCTTTTCCCGTTTTTCAAAAAGCTTTTCCCGTTCTTAAAAACTTCCCGCTTCATCCCAAATTCACCGATACCTTTCAAGCTTCGTATTTTTGTACCAATGGGGGATAAGCTCACCATAGCACCCTTCCTCACTTTTCCCCATCCTTGCCCTCACCCGACCTATTTCATAATGGTTAAAGGAAAGCGACTAGCATGGAATCGCAATGGCTGGGTGTCACCAACACGGCTAGCGTGAGCTACACGTCTAAGAGGGTAATAAGTGTATTGACCCCGGAATTCCTCTCTTCAAATTTTAAGAAATCCAGAACTAATGACAAATTTTATACTCACTTGTGCTCGAACACCTTACCGCTTTCTCAGACTGCATAACGATAATCCCTTCGTTTTGTACAAGCTGGTTCCTCCTGCTCAAGCTGTTCTTCTGATTAGTAATCATTAATTACGGGTACAATGGAATGACCCTAAGCTCTTGAATTTATGAAAAAGTAAGAATTTCCCATAAATTCTAAAGCTTAATTTTGAACTAGAAAAGAAAATGCCATCTTTACCAACTTTTTGCTTTTTCAGAAGACCCCGTCTGAACTTGGGCGCAACTGGAAAGATCTGAGCCGGAGACAATGTCTCCTAGAAAGTTTCAACCTTAGTTGAGTGCCTTTCTGAGACTGATCGTGCTTAAAGGTGCCAATCCATGCTAGTTCGCCAGCCGGTGGTGCAGGGCACGTTCGTATAGAAAGCGGATAGCCAACACGGGGTCGTATATGGATCTGAATAGATCGGTTTATAGGAACCAGTTCGGATCGGCCGGCAAGCCGGCCGATCCTCCTTCCGGGTGCTGAAGTGGGTCCCGGTGAGAAGTTTTCCATGAGAGGGAGGGCCAGTCGGCCGAATGGTCGAAAAAAATTGTTTTTGAGAATTACCGCACTTTACCGTTTCACTGCTTGTATATACATGCTGAGCTTTCACGTTACTTCCCATTTTCCTGGAGTTTTTCGGATATGTTTTGAGGGTTTTTATCCCGGGCACCGTTTACTTCGGCGAACGCCCTGCCCATCGCAGGTGTGCTTCATTCATTGCGTCCGCCAACTGACTGCTTATCGTTTCCCACAATTTCCGCTCTCCGGGATCTTCTAGAACCGAACTACGAATTTTTGAAAGTTTTGTAGCGAGCACCGCCCACCTATAGCACGCCCCGTCCATCACGGGTGTGACTCCCTCATTTCATCCGCCAACTGACTGCTTATCGTTTCCCACAATTTCCGCTCTCCGGGATCTTCTAGAACCGAACTACGAATTTTTGAACTATGTAACTCACAACTGCGCATCCCGCCCACAGTGGGCGGAGCTTAGCTCAGTTCATGTGTGTTCCGTACATCTTGACCCATGCCCTACCCAACCCACCCTTGACCCGCCCCCTCCAACTGGTTCTTCAGGTGATTCCGAATTTCCGGACAGACAGACAAACAGACAAACAGACAAACAGACAGACAGACGTTGCCGTTTATATATAGTAGGATAGTGGGATGGAGAACTTTAGAAGCCACATTTCAGCGAAAATTTTTCTCATGCTACGACCTGCCCTAATGGGATAGACACTTTTTCAGAGTTCTCACTTCCAAACCGTCTTCTTCCTCGTCACGTACAACAACCTCATCGTCAGATTCACGCTTCTCGTCTAGCATGTTTGGTCTCTGAAAAGGGATGTTTAAGTGATTTATCCAGATCCAGAGGAAGGCCAACTAACCTCTTCATTGACAGTCTCTGTCTCGTCGTCTTCTGAGGTCTGCAAAATTCAGAGACTGAGTGTGAGGAGGGAATTTTCATAAAAGCCTCCAACAGTGAGAGGGATCGGTCATTGAGGAGCACAACGTCCACTTTATAGTTTTTTATGCAAATTGAACTCACGTCGTCTTCCTCAGATGCCTGACCTCCATTTGATTTTCGCTATTAGAAGACTTCTTGATCTTTTCTGTCTTTGTGATCTGAATGATAAACAGGGAAGCGTTTTTTGCTGGCTTCTGTAGAATCTCTTAACAAGAAACCTCATCTAGAAGCTCTTCATCATCGTACTGCACTTGTTCTTTCTCAGCGATCTTTTCAACAGGTTCTGGCAATTTGTCGAACGAAAGCATATGTTTTGTCGCTCGCAGTGCAAGCGAAGGGAGACTCAGCCATGATGCCTGAAAAGCTTGGTTTTTCAAGAGCCCATTAACTTAGGGGGTGTGGGCATTTTGCACTCTCGATAGTTCCTTTTGCTAGATGACTGTTTACAGGTCTCACTTTGCTAAAACCTGTAAGCTCTTGTAAAGTTGTGAAACGGTGCAAATATTTCAGCTCGGTTGCGGAAATCTGCAATCTTCACAGTTTGTACAAGCATCGCTGGACACCCCTCCCCCCTCCAAAACCACCAAGGCGAAGTGCTCATATTCGTGTTCGGGGTGCTGTTGATTATCTAATAATTCCGTCTCGCAATGAGCCGTCGAAAGATTGGATGGGGCAGTAGACTCAAAAAATAAAAGTGTAGGTGTTAAATGACTAGTACAAGCAAGAGAAACCGTCGGACTCTCCAAAAAAGGCTCCCCTTGTTTCATGCGAAAGATGAAGACTTCTAAGGGTTTCGGGCTAGCGACCCTAGTCATGGAAATGAGCAGGAGCACACACAAGATGAGCGGACTAAATGCCGGGGCGGGTTACTAACGTTGAGGCGGAAGTATTCTTGAGCAACCTTTCAGCCAATAATGGCAACACGTTCTCCAGCTCTACGTTTGTGGTGGGAATTTCAGAGCAGAAATAAATAAATAAGCAAGTACACGATTACCATATTGGTTATTATTCTAACTCTTTGAAAACAAAATAGATTTTGAAGTGAAGCCAGAAAAGTAGTTTAGTTTCCGCTGAGCCGGTGCCCTCAGACGAAAAGTTGAAGAAATAGCGGGAGCCTTACACTCCCTGTTGAGCGTCTAAGCGCGACTTCTACATTCTCAGGTTTTAAAACAAAAGGATGAAAATGAGCTCAAACTTTCGATATAACTTATCTCAAAAAAATTCAGAAAATTCACGTCCACAGATATTTTGAAGGAATTATTTCAAAGTAGGCAAACCTGGGCAACAAAGACCAAACAGCAAAAAGCCAGTCCTACGCGAAGCATCATGGTTGAACACTGATAATATCCCGTTGTAGAAGTAGCACTGATAGCGCGCTATCAGAGCCACTAGCAAAAATTGATTAGTGTAAGAGTTTCGCTGAGGCATAAAGGCGAAATCTATTTTCGAGTTTTAGTGGATGTGAGGGCGCTATTCGGTTTAAGAGGGTCATTTTGCACTTTGGCTAGTTCCTTCCGCTGGTGCATGTTAGTTAACAAGTAACACTTGGATGAAACCTGTAAAGTGCTCCAAAGCTACGAGCTGGTATCAATGAGCCGATGTGGTTACAGAAATTCATAGGTTTTCACAAGATGACCTGTACTAGCTTCGCTAAGTACCATTTGGTGCCCCCGCAAAGTCGAACTGCGAATGGTGGCAGTGAGAACAAATACTTCCTTCAAATGTGTAGTGTACCAGTTTTCCCGCTGCTATTTGAGCAATTCGTAACCTTACCTCTCTAATGAGTTACCCTGCCAAATCTGGCGCGCTACTGGATGATCCCTCTGGGATGAAGTGACCGAGACCCTTTCCCACTCATCTTGGCATAACTATTACACAATCCACACATAGACGAGCTTCCGCCTTGGCCTGCTAAAGATGTGTGACAATTCCCACGCCACGATGAATTCGTAAATCGGGTAGTTACGATGTCGTTATCTCACAAGTTACATCATTCATTCACATCATTACTTGTGGCGGCAGCTAATAGGCAAGT